AATAAGAACAAAAACGTGTCGCTGACAGTTCAGCGCGTACACTTTCCCCATTTTGTCTCATGCAGGCTCACGCTGATGACGCTCCGGTAACATCTAATAGTTTTCTTTTTTATCACCGGACCGTTAATCAAATTAAGAAACGTCTCCGTCAGCATGCCTTGGCAGGAAAGGGGTCTGTAAAAACGTACATTTCCACTGATGAGTTTCCTGATGCCATCCAAGTAGAAGGAAGGGTCGCGTCCGTTGACGGTCCACCAGATTTTTGGTCGAGGATCAGCCGTCGCCTCACACGTGAAGACCACACTTCCGTTCTCTGGCACCGAAGTATCCACAGGAAATTTGGTGAAGATAGGTGCAGCTAAAGCAAACACAATTATGTAGGTCAATGCTTTCTATTGCGTCCTAAATGAAGCCCAAACAGCAGGGGATTGACATTTTTAACAAGCAAGGCCACGTTTAGTCAGGAGATATCATATTAGAGTTTTAACTTTCTAACTGGAAGGGCGCTGCTGCAAACCAGTCTGCGAGCTGCGCAAAGCCTGGCACCTAGTAAAGCATTGAGTAGAATTTCCACAAACACACACATAGTTATTTCTGATGGAGGCAGGACAATAACAGAGTGATTGGGCCCAGTATAAAAGGGCAGAGAAATATGGCATGGCACAGAAGCTCCTGGGGATCAAAATCCCCTCAGTATTTTTCCTTGCTCCTTCTAAAGGAACAGGTTATTACATGCGGTGTAGTCAGTGGATTTAGAAGCTTACTGAAACTTCAACACCGACTCACCTACCAAGACTGTATTCGGAATATTTTAAAAGAATGCTGAAGGAGGCGTGTGGAAGTGATACGAGAATAACTCACATTTAACGGTCACTTGATATTCGTAATTCTTCGTAGTCATGAGGGCCTCGTTGACCCCCTGGCAACGATACTGCCCAGCAGTGGAAGCGGACACCGGATTGATTTCAAGCACTGTTCCCATGTTCAGAATATTAACATTTGGATGCTGGAAATGTAAATGGGGATAAGTTTGCATAATCAGTCTATATATGCAAGAGTCCAGTGGACAGTAAATATCGCCGTAAGCAAGACTAATAAGAGCTCATTTTCGGCAGATTGATATAACATCAACTGTCAAGGACTCTAGGGTATGGGATACACCTGTCCAATCACAACGTGAGGAAAAAGGTGTAATTATGATTGGCTATGGGCTTACAAGTGTCGCATCCTTGCCATCCTTGTACCAAGTGTAGCTGGGCAGTGGGTTGCCTGCCAGAATGCATTGCAAACGGAGAACGGAGCCGTTGACTGCCAAGGTGGTAAAGGGCGTTTGAAACACAAAGGAGACCGGCCTGTTGACCTAAAGTATGAGGAGAACAGTCTTTGCTGTTTTATGAAATTTATAAAAACAGACTTAACGTAAAGAACGTAGTAGTGACTGACTAGGGCC